ATGCATGCGACACCTCGTCTCCCCGTCAGCATGGCACGGCCAGCAGAACCATCGTCTGCGTCACATTACGCTCTGCCTCCTCATGCTCAAGCCTGGTGAAGATGATCAGCCTCCATGTGTTCCCCCCCCCCCCGGGTGAACTCATAGGAATCCGCCTCAATGTTTAAATCCAACACAGCTGGGAGGCCATGGCTTGAAGTTCGTCCAAGGAGTCAATAAAGAGGTCCGTTTGGAGCTGGGGGAAAAGTGCTTCTTCTGCCCTTCAGAAACCGTGGAGGTGTCCTCGACAAGGCACCAGCTTCCAGATCGGGAAGAAGAAGCTGCAAACAGAGGATAGAGATCAGTCAAAATGTTACCCTTTCACATATAAAGCTCTTTTTTTTTTTGCGAGCAGAGGAGATGTTTAAAAAAAACACCAGGAACGTATTTAAATTCCCCATGAAAGGTTATTCACTTTTTAAGTATTCACTCCTTCAGTAAATCCGTCTGCCAGATGATTCAACGCAGGAGCAATATTTGGAAAAAGATCAACCCAAAAAAAACGCTTAGAGTCAGGACACAGCTGCAAACTGAAACACCTCGTACACCAAATTCCATCAAAGAAACGACTTCTCCGCAGCTGTTGTGCACACAAAACGTGTGTGAAGTTTATTGTTCTAAAGTCTTCCCAGCAGCTGATATGTATCTTCTCCCTGCATAGTCTTAACACGCCGCGTCTCCAGGTTGACGGAGTCTGCTAAACAACTATCACCAGTTTCCTCCCTTCTGTCACTCTCCTCTCTCTCCCCCCCCCTATTTAACACCGTCTCACTCCTCCCATTCCTCCTCCTCCTCCTCCTCTTTCAGCTGAAGGGAGTAGATCTGACGCAATGAACCAATGGGTGATATCACTGATCCTCACCCTGGGGGGCCTTAACGCTACCTGTTTGTTCTCCCCTTTGCTGGCTTTGTTTTCCTTGTTGCAGGTGGACGTGGGTGGAGTCTGAGACCTAGTCCACAGGTAGGCGGGTATATTTGAAAACGTAGCTTTAGGTCACTGAAAACTCTCATTTAGTAAAACTCCTCCCCGGGTGAAGATGTCCACACACTCAGTTTAAGGTGTGCGTCATTGTGCGTTGGACGCTTAGACTCATATTCATTCACTCATACACACACACACACATGCAGACACACACATTAAACACTGCATTCACAAAGTTAAACCATGTGACTTAATACATTAATTCAAATGTATTGCATAATGTTGCCGACTCTGGGTTGTCTCCATCTGTTTGTCGCACTCTGCTGGGAAGGATTGTGTCAATTGGACTGAATGAGAAGTCATGACTGAAGCGAGTTCCAGAAAGTCCTGCATTTCTTGTGAATTTTAGGATGAAGAAGAGAAACCAGAAAATCGAAACATGAGTCATTCCAGATGCTTACTGTACAGGACAGGTTATAATGGACTAATATGCAATATGCTATCCAAAGTGGAGACTTTAACCTCCTCCGCATCATGACAAGTCATCGTCTTGGATTCCATAACAGAAAGTCAGCTACATTTCAAGTATTTGGCATCGACCACATCCGATGTAACAAGAAACTGAACTGATAAATGACTGCTGCTGCTTTATAAAGCGCTGAATGGTTTAGGGCCAAAACACATGACTGACCTTCTGATTAATAACCCAGGTGGTCCGGGTACAGGTCTGCTCTCTGTCCCCAGAGTCAGAACCAAACATGGAGACGGAAGCGTTCAGTTTCTATGCTCCTTATATCTGGAACACACTCCCAGAAAAACTGCAGGTCTGCTGAAACTCTCTGTTTTTTTACATTTATACAGAATGATAAATATTTGTGTGTGCATTGAAATACATTTGTGAATCCTTCTGTGTGCGTTCATGAATATTGAGAACCGATCTAACTCCATATGTGTGAAGCACTTTGAATTGCCTAGTTGTTGAAATGTGCAACATAAATTAACCTGCCTTGCCTTTCACTTAAACATTGTTTTAAGATGAATACAAATATCTTGTTTGATCCAATTAACGCCATCTGATGGAGATTTTATGTGTTGACACCCTCTGTATGCAACAACTCTATGCTCAAGTGCAGTGGTTCCCAAAGTGGGGGGTTGGGCCCACTGGGGGGTCATGAGGCACTGAGAGGGGGGTCACGAGGTTCCTTCCAAAACCACAAATATTTTAAAAAAGCACATGTTATACATTATTGTGAAAAATAAATATGCAAAAACTTAGTTCAAGACATTACAGGTGTTCTGCTTCTAGCGTTTCTTACAATAAATTACTAAAATAATATTACATGTTTTGTCAATAGTGCGCAACATTAAATGTTTTTTCCACCTCCATGGATAATTGGAGTCCCCAGTTCCTAGCACTGTTATGACGGGGGTCACGGGCTGAAACGTTTGGAAACCAATGCTCTAGTTCAAAAGTCCTATTGGTGGAGTACCACTTGAAAAGAACATCCTGTTTTCTTGTTGGCTGTAACAGAAACATGATTATGACAAATCTTATCTTTTCTGGTCTTAGATGAGCTATGAGAGAAAAGGTGCGCCCTGTGGCTGACGCTAACGTAAAGCTCATGAAGTCAACAAAAAAATGAGGAGTCATTTGGACAACACAAGCAAAAACTTTCATGTCAAGTCTTCAATTGATTTGAAGCAGTTTGATACCTCTTTCATTTCTATGGTCACCAATCATTTAGCTTAGCTTAGCATAGTAACTGGAGACAGGGGGAAACTGCTAGCCTGGCTCTAATTTAATAAGAAATCCATAGACTGTAAAAAAAAAAAAATTGTAACCCCACCTATTTGTGTCCGCCATGTTTGAAAAATGATTTCAACCTAACTTTAGATCAATCAGGAAACTGGAAAAGAAAGAGGTGGAGTTAAGGTGGATTTTAGCCTCCTGGCAAACAGCAACAAAGCGCCAATCTGTCAGTCAGATCAGCCACGCCTCCAATCATGCATAAACTGTGATATTCTCAAAACAGATGAGCTATGAAAACATTCTCCTAGTGTGCAGTGTGTACCAATAAAGAAATGAGCTTTTCAGACCGATACATGTTTTCTTACAAGACTTTAACCACATTCATGTATGTTGTCAAAAATGGGCATTTTAACATCGGTTTTAATGGACTTCCAGGGCTTTTGCACCAAGCCTCAAGTGGACACTTAAGGAATTGCAATTTAATGTACTTGTGCGTTGGCATCATTTTCAACACTGGACTTTGCTGCTTGGATAACATAGAAAGTTCCAGTTGCCTTTGACTCCTAGTTTAGTTGTTGATTTCCATGCCATTGTGTACATACCCTTCTCTTCAAACAAGCTTTTTTAAAAACATAAACTTAAGAATAACGTGATTCATCTTAAAGGGGACATATTATGAAAAATCTCTGCAGTGTTTTTGAACATATATGTGTGTAACCTGAGTGTCTAGCGACCCACAAAATGTGAAATAAATCCATCCAGTCCTTTGTTTGTGGTCTGCAAAAGTCTTACAACACAGAGAAAAATGCTCCGTTTCAAATGTGCTCTCCTTGTGATGTCACAGTGGGATTCTGGTAAAACAAAATCCCCTCCCCTCCCCTGGTATCTCCACCCATAGACTCCACCCCCAGACTAGAGCAAAACTTTTGCGCAGGTCCGCCATTTTTATTCCCGCTAGCGAAGGAGTGATGTCTACGGGGAAAACTCAGGGGGGGGGGGTCATTACATTTAAAGAGACACACACACCAAAACGGAGTGTTCTGAGAGAGCTGGTTTATACAGGGTCACAAACCTCCTCTGGTGCTTGATTCATGTTATATTTTGACCAAAGCACAGCACAGATGTTTCATTTAGACCACAGGGGACTGTTAGAAAAGGTGGAGGAGGGGGATCATATGTCCTCCTTAAAGATCTGGGTGACGAAACCAAGTGAATTTTTGAAGAGTCCAGTTGAAATAATACCAAAGCAAAACCCTTCAAACATATTGGGGAGAGCACTGCATTCATAATTTTCTCTTTCCAACTACTCTTTTCAGCTATTGTTGCACACTTAGCTTTCTATCTTTACCTTGTGGAAGACGCAGCTTATACGTTGAATGTATGTGCATGGTCCATATAGGGCAGCAGGTAGACAGACAGTTAAGAATCTGACTGGAGCTGTGACAGCCACACATACCAGATTGTGTTTCTTTTTATTGATTGATCACTGTTGGGAGAATTTTAGTAAATAAAACAAACTATTCTTCTTACATCAATAACCACTCCTAATGTTAATATTTGAGTCATCCTCATACACTGAAATAATTGTAAATCTGGGAACTATGCGCCCAACAAACATTAAAATGAAGTTTCAAAAAAGCTCTTACTGTAAGAGAGTTCCAGCGAGGTCACAAGCTGCAGGTGAAACTGTGTGTGAACGAAGCGATAACAGTCAGGGTCAAAGTCTTCAGGTGTAGTTTAACCTGAAACTGAAAGTCACTCGTGCTTTGAAAGATAAAATATTTGCAGAGCATGACCTGACTTGCAGATTTAAAGAAGTCAGTGGTTTCACAAAACAGGACACTCACAATGACTCGTTAAGTAATGCAGACTTTTACAGAAGCTGCAGCTTGTGTGCAGAGGTCCCGGTTGTCAACAGGCAAGGCAGGCAACCGCTTGGGGCCCCAGACCATTAGAGGGGCCCCAAAACAGCGGCTGAAAATGTGTACATTTTTGCAATGATGGTAGGCAACCTCCCCATCTGACTGCACTCATTGTCGTTGCCCCGCTGAACGCTGGTTGGAGGCCCCCCGATTGATTTTTGCCGAGGGCCCCAACAGACTCTAGAATCGCCACTGGTTGTGTGTGAGTGTTTATTGACATGACTCATCAGTGTTTAACTCCAGAAAAGTGTGTGAGGTTCACAAGATTATGACAACAATGAAAAAGTATGTCCTATGAAAACCTGTGGCCAGGGTGCGGTGTCAGGGGTAAAGACAATCAAGAGAAATCACTCATCAAAACAATCAATCATTTTACACCACACAACTTTATTTTCCATACATCTCATTGACTTTTTGAGTTACTAAATGAATATTTCACAATTGTTTTTCCTTTTACAAGCTCTCAAAAACATCACCATCTCTCCGGTTTGACACCAGCAGCCTTCAGGTACCACACATCTCTTAAAGTTTTTTAAAATTTTAATTTCTACATGCATTAGGGGAATCATGGATTGTTAACATAATTAAATAATTACACTGTTTAGTCAGTTGTGTGTGAGCACAACAAGTTCAAAGTAAACCCATAAACTGTATCTAAGAATTGGGTTCAAGCCACTGTGACATCTCACACTAGTTTTGGGCTTCAGATTGGAACACAGACTGTATAAAACATGGACGTCGCTTTCTGAAGAGGTGTTTTGAAGCCAATGGTGGTGGCCATATTAGGAATGGTATCTCAAACTAACTTTTTAATCGATCTAGAAACAAAGAGGTGGAGCTGAGGCAGACTTTAAACCTCCTGGGAAACAGCTACGAAGAGTCCACCTGTCAGTCAACTCTGTCACAATCCTAATAAGGCAAACGTATGCATAACTATTTGTCGCAATACATTTACAACTGGCGAGTTACATAAAAAAAATCCACTTCCTGTATAGTTTTTGGCAATAATGAAATGAGCTATGGACCCCAATGTTTCTTGTCCCAGGCTGAAAACAGGTTCCAGCCTGTTGTGAAAATAGGTATTTTAATATGGGGATTCCTTGGCTTTTGGAGCCAGACTCCAGTGGACACTTGAGGGACTGCAGTGTTTTGCACATATCGATTGATTTTAATTTTTTAACACGGAAGTTGCCCGTTGGTTTTTTAGCCTCATGTTGCGCATTTCGAAACCGTCTCGAACTCCTTAGAGTTTCTTGCATCGACAACACACAACTGAAAGCCGACCGTGCCATGTTTTCTGTCAGCGTGTTAGCAATTTGTTAGTCACATACAGCCAGGCACTAAATCATCCCCTGCTTTATGGTCTATTTGACGCTAAATGGGACAATAATTTGGAAGGAAACATCAATATGTTCAGAAGAAGACTTGAAACTAGATATTTAGATCATTAACACATTAGAAAAATGTTAACTAAAAGAATAAATTAACTGAGAACTAATGCCATTATGTCATAGACTTGCAAATTCCAACCTATTTTGCAAAAGACCAAATATATAAATAATGCAGGTTGGGCTTCACTCTTAAAGCTTGAGACTCCATCCAATACTTATATACAGTCTATGTGTAAAACCTTCATTCCTATTGAGAGATCCTGCATGTGTTTCCAGCTGGTCGACTTTCTCTTACAACTTTTGACATCCAAGTAAAGCTCGACTTCCAAGGTATGTGAAGGAGACGGACAACAGAAGGATTGAAAAGTCAAGACATTAGATACATTAATATGGGAATGAATTCAGCACTAAAACCACGTAGATATTGGCTTGGTCCGAAGTTAAATAAAAACTTGCCAGACACGTCATTTGAAACAAACACATAGACGCACACACACACACACACACACACACAAACACTTGATGCATGCAGCCAAGAGTTGAGGACACTGTGCAAAATACCAACATTACCTTAAGGATAATAAGTGCCAAAGAGAATATGACTAACATCATAAATAATCAATAAAATAATAAAACAAAATTATAAAATGGTTAAAAAAAAGAATATCAAAAACCACAGTTAACACCAAACATAAACATTGGCATCAAATAGCCAGAAATCGGTGTATGCTCAATAGAAGATTAGAAATAGGACAAACGTAAAACTATAACAAAGATATATTACATTAACTGTGATTGTATACAGCACTGGATGGCTTAAACACATCTGTCTTTGCAGATTAGCAAAAATGGATTCCCTCTAGCTCCTTAAATGCTAAACACTACTGGCTTAAATGTCTTTGAAAACATCTATCTGTTCTCTTGAATAAGTCTTTACATCCACAACAGAGTCCAGAGCACCTAAGGAAGTACATTTCAAAAACAACTTCAGTCTGGCTGAATTGCAAGGACTGCAGAGTAATCTTAACTTTTCAATTCTACTTCTATAAATTCATGCAATTGTCTTTAGAATATTCCTCTTTGACTTAAAACAATTTCATTAGACCTATGTGCGGGCTGCTCCTCAAGAAAGATTATATCCCATTCCTAAAAGGTCACAAGATTAACCTTTGGGTAAAAAGTTATACAGAAGCCACCAAGTTTCAATTTCCTAGTCTTCATAACATCTGACTACAAAGGTATCCCATCACCATGAGGGAAATGTCCTAAAATCAACATCAAATACAGCTGACCACATTCATTGTGTCCCTTAGGTGCACACTCAGTCTCAGGTTGAAATACCCAATTCTTCACCATTTAAGAAAGTTTGTCTTCAACATGGGGGACTCATGGAGTTGCTTTGGTTGGCTTCACAACGTAAAATCTGAATGTCCTGCCAACTGACTGGTAATTAGCATTGCCACAGCAACTTCAGAAGCTTAGGTTGTGTCGTGGTTGTACAGGGTGTAAACACAAGTGCATCCCAAGTAATGCCTTTTTTCTTACCCTCACATTTTGTTTTAACCCTTCTTGTCTCATAACGCCATGAAAAGAACATTTTCTTTCTTTCACAGTCCATCGCAGTTCTGTTGAATAGGGGAAGGAAGGTGTGCAAGTCCGTTGATACTAACTCTCCTTGTCATCTGACCCTGTCCTTGTCCTCCAGCTCCAGCGCCACCCTGCAAGGTTTGGGTCAGGCTAACTTGGGCAGTGCTAAAGGAAGTAATCCTGCCACTTCCAGCAATCTGGAGGTTCACTGTAGTTGCATAACTGGTCTTCTGGTTCCCTTGTTTTCCAGGGTGTGAATGGGCAAAGGGAAGTGGGGAGGAGCTTGGGGTCAACGGGGAAGAGATGGAAGACACAGAGGATATTGTGGTGTTGATTTGGACCTGTGGCTGTGTTTTAACTGGGGATTGGTAGTTGTGGTGTGGGTTGGAGATAGGTGGAGAAGAAGAGATGTTTTGTTCACCGGAGGGCCGAGCAACATAGGCACAGATCAGCTGGCTACGGCAATGACCTTCTTCTAGCTCGGGGTCACCCCATGCTGCCTGGTTGTCTGATGGAGCAGGAGAGGAGAGGAGGGTGTGAGTAAGTGAGGATACAGGAGAGGAGGCGCTGATGGTGGAGGTAGCACTGGTGTCAAGGCTTTCAGATCCATTGTATTTATGTGAAAGCTCTCGTACATCAGGCCATGGAACGCTGGTGAAATGCTGACCACCAAGGGAACCCCTGCCTGTAGAGAGCCTGCTCGGTGACAGTGGGGATTGAAGCCCAGCTTGAGGGCTAAGGCAGGATGGTGAGCTACTGTAAGAGGACCATCCACTCCTTGGACTGGTTGGACAGGAGTTCTGTTGGTCAAAGGACCCCCGCCCACTACCACTAAAACCAAGGGACCTGCGGCTGCTGTCCGCCCAGGAGCGGCGCACTCCACTCGGGTTGCTCCTGGCTGGGCTAGGGGGCCTATCTGAAGAGAAAGACCTGTGAAGGGTTTGAGAGGTTGTTTGGGATGCAGGGGGGCAGGATGTGGATGGTGAGGAGGCTCTGGAACTACGAAGTGAGACCAAAGTAGAAGAGGAATTGGGACAAAAGGCAGTCTCCTGTGTTTGCAAGCCTAGTGAGGAAGCAAATGAATGAGAATGAGAAGAGAAAGAATGTCTAGGGTTTCTTGGTTGAGGTGCTGCAACATTATTTGTCCAAACATTCACTGACACACCAATAGGTGGAGGGGAGAGTATCCGAGGACTCAGACATGTGGCTGACTGCCCAAATGCTGAACTTGAAGAAGAAGCCCTGGGTAGCTCCAAAGTTAGGCCTAGTGGATTATGGGAACTTGCATCTCCTACTCGTGTGCTCCGGGGAGGTTTGTGTGCAATGGGGGAGGAGTAATTATGCTGTGGAGGTGGGGAGCAGAGGCGAGTAAATGATGAATTGGCTGGGGTTGGTGATGGGGACTGAACTCTGGAGCTGGGCTCAGATGCAGAAAAAGGCCGAGCCACGCGATTATGGGATGCTGAGCTGAGAGGATCATGGGTTTGTTGCATTACTTTGGCATTAGTGCTACCGTTAGCAAGTGGTACCTTCTGTGAACTTGCAGTCCAACCCCCATTGTTATTGTTGTTGTTGTTTGCGTTCTTTGATGAGTCAATTTTGGCATGAAGGAATGAGGGACGAGGGGAAGGGGAAGAAGGACAGGGAGGCTGCTGATGGGCTGGCATCATAAACTGGGAAGGCGAGTGTTGGGAAAGAGGGGGAGGAGGTGACTGCATGGGAGATGGAGAAGGGCAAGTGGACCAGGGAGAGGATGGTGGACTCCTTAGATGGTGGTAACCATCTTTAGAGCTCTGCTGACTGGGAGGGGGTTTAGGTGAAGGAGACCGTTGTCGTAGGTGAGAGGAGGGGCTTTGGTTGACTCTGTTTATTTGCGGGGCTTGTTGCATGGCAGTGTTCTTTCTTGCCAAACTCTGACTTATGGACTGGCTAATGCAGGATGCTGCTAAGGATCGGGTGAATGCAGAAGAACTGACGGGAGAGGAGCATGCAGGAGAGCGGAGAGAAGAAGGGGAGGGCGGAGGACCTGCTCTTATGGATGACGATCTCCAAGAAGAGGAGGTTGAAGATGAGGGAGTAAAAGCAGAAGATGGCGCAGGAGAGGAGGAAGTAGGATCTTGAATTGAGGAGCCTATACCAGATGGGAGAGTTGGAGAGAAACAGGGAGGAGCCCTGGAGAAAGTGTTCAGGGAGGTATCATCATGAGACAGAGGGATGGGTGAAGATGCAGGGATCACCCTAAATGGTGAAGAGCAAGGAGTTGCTCCTACAGAGGACACAGTAGAGGTTGGAAGAGCTTTAACAGGGGAAGGGGAGTGATGTCTGGGTAGAAAGGCTGAGGGTGTTGTAGTGGGATTTTGGTCCTGTCCATGAGTGGAAATGCCTGAGTATGGTCTCTCCTCCTGGCTGGAGATTTCCAAGGACGGTCTGAAAGATGAGTGGCTGTCTGAGGGGACACTGGAAGTGGGCAGGCAGCAGGGGTTTCTTGAGCTCTGTTGGTCCGGTTCCCTGAAACTGAAAGATAAGCAAATATTAAAAAGAACATACTTTTCAAGGGTCTTTTTTTTACATTTTGTTTGCAATTATCTCAATAATAGATTTGTTTCTTTTTATATTTCAAAAAGGCCTTACAGCACAGGCAATATTTAGTTGCAGTTTGTGTTTTTAATGAAAATACTGATCCAATACAATTATTTCCACTAAAATGTACATCGACAACCAAGCAATTAAAAAGGGTTAATTTGGATCCACATTTAAAGGACTATAGAACAAAGGAAAACTAACTACTGTTGTTTTCTAATTTCCCCTCAACATCACAAAACCTTGAACTTGGTTTTAGCCCACACACCTAAAACAAATAAGATTTGCTGTGGCTGTCATACCCGAGACAAGCCTAGAAGGCATTCATAATCATTAACTTTCAGATTGAGCAACGTGCCAGCAGTTAAGAAGACTTGCTTTATAGAACATTAAGCTTGGCTTTAGCTTTTGAGATGAGATAAGATGAGATTCAACTTTATTGTCATTACACATATACAAGTATAGAGTAACGAAATGAGGTTTGGCATCTCACCAGAAGTGCAAATAAGCAGAAAGTGCAAGAGTCTGTGCTATGTACAGTAATTACAAAATTTACAGATGTAGACTAAAAAAAGTGAATTATTAGGTATATCTGGATGGCTGGATTAATGGGATGCTATAAATATAAATAAATAAATGCTATAAATAAGTAATGCTACAAAATAAGTGTTTTGGTTGGTTTTAAAACAAAACAAATCAAACCCCAGCCTGTTAAAAGGGGCACAATATTCTGTACTTGTTCTTTATCAAAAGTTATTTGCTATATGACACAAACATACCTATGTTCATATGGAGATGGGTTTTTGACATTCCTGGTTATAGACACAGCCTGATCACCCAGTGTAGTGGACTGGGCTGGTGGCCTTTGGCTGGTGAATGTCGGAAGGGAATCAAAGGACTGCACACATGGAGGTGGTGATACTGGATTGTGAGTCAAAGACCACAGATTGGGTGCCTCCCTTCCTTTTGCTGTGTGGTCCTCTGCAGTTTCTCTCAATGTATGGCTGAATATGTGTGAAGGTTCAGAAGTCTTGTGCAATGGCTGACACAGAGGGGGTGGAACAGCAACTTCTCCTGAGTATATGTGATGATGTGGCTGCTCTGTAAAGGTTATTGTTGAACCTTGTGGAGTCATCCTGGTTTGTGATGAATAATCATTCAAATAACAAATTTTCTCATTTAATTCTGTTTGTGTAGTTAGGTTCTGATCTTTCTTTGGCCCTCCAGAAGGCCCCAGGGTTGTGGCACAATCCTCCAATAGGTTTACTGTTTCCGTCCAAGCCTTCCCACAGACAACACCTTGGTCTGTTAGAACCTGGTTCTGTGTAGAGGCCACCACTGCCACCAGTTGTCCTGGGTACTCTTCCTCATCCTCAGTTCTTGGACAAACCAAGTATTCAGGCCCTGTATGAAAACTCTGCACACTTTTGTTTAATATGTCTTTGCCATCACTATGTTCCATGGAAAATTTGTATTCCAGTACATCTGCAGCTGGCATATTAGACTTGTTTTTGTCCTGCTTCTTTTCTTCTTTGGAAAAACCCAACTGTGATATGTAGTGATCAGAAAGACTTGGCCCAGACTGCACAGGATTGCAAATGATGTTTACAGATGTTGAGCCATCTATGATCGAGTTAATAGGCCATCCATCATTCAGCTCCGACCTACGAAGATAAGGAGAATCAAAGAGTGTTTTAAAAGCACAAGCCTGACTGAAGACAATGGTTAGAACTACTACTTAAGAATAACATGAGCAATATTATAAACACAGGATAATAATAGATGTCAACTGTATGTTTTATGATACTGTTCCTTTAATTTCACAAGAACTGAAAATAGAAAACCCTACAACACAAATCTCATAAATTTTGCACAAAAGCATCTACTATACCAAATACAGCTCAGCAATTAAACTTGAGCTTTACAAGGCACTTCAGTTAATTTTTTTCCCCTGATAATATGGCTCCTTTGTCATGTCCCGCCCATCTCTGTAAATATTATGCACTCACCCCTCTCTTTTGTCTGTCCGTTCAATCTCCCCATTTGGTTTCAGGACTTCGCCTCTCCCTGTGGAAGAAGTTGAACAGTTGGTGGCTCTACAATCCGGGGTCTTCAAGGGGCTATTATTGGCGGAGCAGCACAAACTGAAGCTCTGATCTTCAGGTTGGGTTTTGTGGGGGTATCTGGATGCTGTAGATGACCTTTCAGCTGAACAGCTTCCTGAGTTGTAGCTGTTATTCTGGGTCTGAATAGATGACTGATCCCTTAGTAGGGTAGATGCATTTTCCCCAGGAGTGGTGGAATACTGGCAAATGTCATCTGATATACAGCCCACAATGGAGTCTCTTTCCTTGGTCAAGGCAGAGATGAAGTCCCTTGGCCTGGATAGGATTATTCCACTTGTCTGTTGAGGAAGGGTTGGGGTCAACTGCTCTTTGACAAACACATGACCAAAAAGCAGAGGCTCACAGGGGGCCACCCCTTTCTCCTGGGAATCTAGAGAAAAACAAAAAAAGAAATAGCTCAGTGATTATCATAAGAGTGAAAAATTAACCTTGAGGCCCAGATCACTGTATCACAGGCCCTGCCCACACTTTGCATTAACATCCCCCCTGGGTGAGGGGATAGCCTTAAAGCAAGATGTGAACACACCCCAATGAGTCCTGGAACGCTTGTGCGTCCCGGGCCAAATTAAGGAAAACCCCCTTCAGTGGCATAATCTGCTGAAGCACTGTTAAGAGCTTTGAGAACAATGCTGCCTCTCACTTAGTGAGCATGATGACAAATATGTTCCTTTCAGATGTAAATGATGTACAGGTGGTCACATTGTTGATGCAAAGTGTAAACGCCCCTACTCAAGGGCTTTCCACTTGTGATGAGTTCAACGACACCACATGTTGATACCAGGTGTAAACAGGGTCTTAAAAGAAGCTTTTGAAAAGGCAACCTACCAGTGGTCAGGCTCTGTGCTCTCTTTATCATCTTCTTCTCTTGAATCACTTGGTCCGCCTGGTTAATGGTTGGTTTCTGGCACCTGCTGTAAGTCGTGCTCTGGTTTTGGCAATGTGTCAGTGCCTGACTCTGGCTTTTTGTGTAAATAGGTTGCGTTATGCTTTTGCTTTGAGCTTTGGCTTCTGAGTGACTTTGGGTCCTATATTTCATGTCTGTGTGGGTATCCATTTCTCTGATTTCCATTTGGTATTTTGCTTGTTGCCAGTACCCTGTGGGGTTCTGTACTTGGGTTTGAGATACATCCTGAGTCTGGCATTTAGTTTTAGTTTGAGACGAAAGTCCAGACAGTCTACTTGAGACTGATAACTGATTCCGTACTGCAATGGCCCGTTTCTGATGCAGTGGGACCTTCATGGTGTTGGCTTTGACACTGTACATCTTGGCCAGGGTTTGGACTTTGCTTAGAATTCGCTCTGAGTTCTCCATCAGCACATGATCAACGACAGGGCTGGCCTCGAATAACCCAATACCTGCTATGTCAGATGCCCTGCCCTCAAACAAGGCTCTGTTTGCTGTGACAATCCTGGAGTGGCGTGACCACCGACCCACTTTTATCTGACTGGGAATACCCTCAAGATTCCCACAATTCTTGGTAAGTTCTTCTTGTTTGGTTCTAGTCCAAGATGACTGAGTTTTGGTCAGGGGTTTTGAGGGATCGTTATGGCCTCCATTTGCTTCTATTTGACCTGCTTGCTTAGGTTCATGCCCATTCATTACAGATTGGTGTCCAGCACTTGTTTTGGTTGTTTCATCTCTGGACCTGTACTGTTTGTTAATAGATGGTCCCACTCCTTGCAGTGAATTTCCACCTTGCTCCCCAGTGGCTTCAACACATGTCTCCCACTCCTCGTGCCTCTCCTCAGGTGCTTCCTCCAAAGTTACTTTGCAGGACTTTTCATTTTTATCTTGTTTCTCAGCCGCTTCTCTATCATGCCTTTTGGGGTTTGACTGCTGATTCAAACACACTTGGTCTGGGGCCTCCCTGTCCTGCATGACAGAGAGCGTTGCAGACTGGATTGGGCCTTCTGCATTAAAATCCTGGCTGCTGATTGAGTTAGTTGGCTGTTCATCATTGTCTGTATCAGCCACTAGTGCAGAAGCGGGGGACATGGGACCAATGGGGGAACAGGGCTCTGTCTCTCGATCACTCTCTACATTGATAACTTCAATTGTTTCTAAAGCAATCGATGGTCCAGCTTCTGGCTCCCCCTGGTGTTCAGTCACATCAAACCGTGACACTGACTCCTTCACCAACCCAGATGGAATTTGTGAGAAACTGTTTCTCCTTCTTGAATCAACTCCTTCTCCCTGTTCGTCTTCCTCTTCTTCCAAATCCTCCTCGGCCTCAGCTGCTGCCTCATAGTAACTCCTAATCTTTTCTATGATCTTTTTGTCTCGTTTTGTGAGGTGGGAGCCTCTTGTGGGTGGATTGCGCCTCTGGAGAGGGTGATGAAGGACATCAGGATTTTGGGAGGAAGAGGTAGCATCATTGTTTTCCTCTTCCTTTGGTAACGGAGGTGGTTCTTCTGTCAAGATTGAGGCATGAAGATCTTGTATTGGGGCAATGATGGTGCACTCTTCCTCACTTTCATCCCTTGTTATCACCTCTTCTTTGGCCTTTTCTGCAACTTCTCCTCGTGTCTCTCCATCTCCCTCCAATCCTTTCTCAACTGGACTTGTTTCTTCTGAAGCTTCTACGACTTCATCAATAGTTTTCTCAATGTCAAGTTCATGTTCCTCTCCAGAGCGACCAGTCTGACTTTGAAGGGGGATGTCCTTCTCCATGTCTGCTCTGTCCTGCTCTTGTTCAGTTGTTGCTCTTTGATCAGGGCTGGAAGGGAAGGCAACAGGGGGAAGTGGGCAGGTGAAGTTTGTCTGGTTAGATGAGGGCTGACTGTCTTTGGGTAGATCCAGCTCCTGGAGGAAAAGAAAGTGCAATGTTTTAAAACTGGATGCCTGCTGATCTGACCAAGATACCTAAACAACAATTGGCCTCTGTGCTGGCTCATAAGCAAAAATTATTGAGAAGATTACACTTAGCTATGGCACAACATGAATGCAGATTAAAGATAGATTTTTGTTTCTATGATCGAGTTCAGTTAAAAACTCAGTTTACATTACATTTGGGAGAAGCCTAATTTGTTCACTGTCGGTAAAAGCATGGTGTATTCTAACCGTTGTGTTGGTGTGAAAGGCAGTGAGTCCTTCTCTGGCTCGGCTCTGGTTGATGAACTCCAGGATCTCTTCGGTGATGGAAAGCGTGGGAGGAGGGCTGAAGGGGATCAAGTCCTCTTCTTCCTCTTCCTCCTCATTTAAAAAAAAGAATGAAAAAAGAATACATTTATACAGGTTTAATTTCCCTCTAAACTTATCAAATCCAGCACCTTAGACAGTCTTAAAATATGTGCTGTAGGCATCCTTAGCTTAATGTTTGAAAGATTGAGTCAAAGTGGAAGTGCAAAAAAAATGCAGTTCCTTGAGTGTCCACTAGAAGCTCAAAGTCCAAGGAAATTAAAATGCCCACTTTATATGGAGCTATTAAACATTTGAAGATATTTGTACGCATTTGTGGATCTTGCACGGCAGGAGTGTTGCAAAAGTCACGTGTAAAATGACAGCCAATGGAGAGGCCCGCCTCAGTTGTAAGCGATCATTTGTGTGTATTTTCAGCTGAAAAAACTCACTGCCATTAATAAATATGTAAACATCTCAGAAAACACAATAAATCCCTCTGACTCTGATCTCTTGTTTTAACATGAACACCGAGGCATTAAATTGACAGTAGAATGACATGTACAACAAGGATGGACATATTCATATTCATCTCGAAATATATCATATAAAAAGATTCATAATGGTTTTCATATTTTGAGCACATTGTGGACACATTTCTTGCTGTTGAAGAGAATGTGCGTCTTTTCGATCCAGTAGCTGTCGCCCTTGAGCACCAGCATGAAACCAAAACATGTTGCTGTTTGGCCACGCCTCCTCCACGCTGAAGCCTCCGCTCTCCTCAAGAGACACACCTCCAACCCCTCTACACTCAAGTTTGCATGACAGAGTTTGGAGAAAGCACCAGACAAAATCGTCCTTTGCTTGAGTTTCCATCACCTGTGTCCTGCATTGTTGTGTTGGCATGCTAACGTTAGCTCGTAGCTTCACATTGCATGTAAACTGACACAGAATGAGCGTGATCTAAAAACTCTTACTAACATCCAAATAATCAGTGAGTATGTTCTTCTTCTTCTCTCTAGTTCTTGACTAAAACAGCTTTTATACACAAGGGGGGGAGCCGGCCGTCCCGTCCATGTAAACACGGCTCTGACAACAACACAGCCAGCGGGACTCGAGCTTCTCCCTCATTGTAGACACATTCCTTGCTGTTGAAGAGAATGTGTGACTTTTTGCTCCAGTAGATGTCGCCCCTTGAGCTCCAAAATGAAATTGGTCTACATATTTGCAGATTAGTTTACACATTTGTGGATCTGTGTACACAAATTCAAATAGTTTTGCCACAATAATAGCTCCATAACTTTGTCCAAATGTTTACAGTCTGGTCCATTTTGATTTTAAGAAGTATAATTAAAAGTGTCACTGATGTGGCAGCAAGAGGGGGTGTTTGTCAAGAGCCCTAAGGCCCGCCTCAGGACTACCTGTTTGCCTGTCGTTAGAATGACTAAGACTGCATCTCCAATACGGCAACAACCACCGTTTGGCTTCAAAACTACGAACTCAGAAACCAATGGGCGACTCAGTCTGTGGATCTGATGTTGAGGTTAGGTTACCAGTATTCAGGAAGAGAAAATCAGCTATGCAATTTGGACAGATGGATTTGTCAAATAAACATGACTTTCTTTTCTCAAAGACCGGCGCTCCATTTCCACATGAAAACCATTGGTCAGCGTTGATTTCTTTCAAAACACTGACCATGTTAGTTACTTAGATAGTTAGTCATTAGTTACTGTACAGACATAAAGGCTTATTTTAACTTGAAGCAGAATCTTTCCCACTCCTAACCAAAACATTTTGCTGCCATTACCTAATCTAAATGCAACCATTTTGAATTACTTTATCACTACAGGCACCACCTTCTTCTAAAAGTGTAACTGTACATAGCATATTTATTATCGCTGACTTAGCAGAGGGGCCATGCATGTGCAGGACTGACCTCAGAGGGATGTCATGTGTTTGAAGTGTTTGGTCTTTGAATGTAACATTTCTAAACATATGGGTATCCATTTTCTCATTTACTTTTTAATCTAAACAATTTTTCATCACTTTTGGGATCTTTTTTGTTCCCCAGTCGGATTGTAATAATGAATTTAAATGCATTCTTGGACATCAATCTTTTTTTATGCTGATCCCAGAAGGACTTTCTAATCCAATTGTATTAAATCCCATCTGGTTTAGTCAAACAAATAAATATGATTCGACTGAATAAAATGATATGCCAAGACACATCCTGTTTTACTGTTCCAATCTCATGTAATCAAATATATTCTGAGAGGTCTGACATCGTGTTAGCATTAGGCTGAGTCCCTAACGTGTCACACTTAAATACCTCGTCCTCTGGGTTTGGACGCTGCTTGTTAATCAGTCCCGCTTCGGCCCTCTCAGCTTCCACCTCGATCACGGAGGACGCAAGCGTGCTGCTGCTGCCTGCCGAGCCCAGACTCTCTGTCGGACACAGCTCGCCCTCGCTTCCTGCCTGCTGCAAAAAACACACCACCAAACGAAACACGGGCACTTTTCAAAATCACTGACTGACGTGTGTGTCATCATTTATTTTCCTTAAGGACTGTCTCTCATGCTGTATCACTGACCTGAACGAAACTAATTGAAGAAGTCAGCGATTGCTTGATCATGTACAAGTTGAAATTGTGGAATGTACCTTTAAGACTGTTACTAGGGGAGCGCCTTTGTTTTTATCCATGAAGTTATGTTGTGAGCGGCGCTAATGCCATGGACAGATGGCTGTAGCCGAGCTGTAGTGAATGTTCCTGTGGACGCTATTTTGTTCATGTGTGATAAAATATGTCGTGTTTTGTTGGAGGTTGTAATCATAGTCGGGCATTGTGGAACCCCCAGACACGTGTGGTTGTGCACTTTTGGCTAACTTCTCCGTCTCCAGCGCTCTCCAAAACACTGTCAACCCAAAGGCACGGACCTAAACTGTTACTATGACATCAAGTTCATTCATATGAGCAAAAAAGGTTTTGAATTTGCTCCAATAGCCTGCTTCAGCCGTCAGCTACAAAACAGGCTGTAATGTCTGCATCGTAACCGATGGGGGGAAATTTGCCCGATCAAAACATGCTCTCTAAAGATCCTGACACACCGAGGACATCGTCGGCTGTCGGTCCTATTTATATCGTCGTGGGTGGTCGTCGCTTTAGTTTTTGCGGTGTGTCCATCGCTACCAGTCGGACATTTTTTGCCCGATTCGACATGTTGAATCTGCGTCGGTGGTCTGTGTGAGAGGAATCTCTCTGATTGGCTGTTCTGTTGTTTCATTTCTCTCCAGCTCTCCTCTCAGGTTCAGTAAAGCCTCTTGAGCATGTCTCTGTAGTATCCATGCTTTCACCCATTAGTGTGGTTTCTCCTTATTTGTCTCCTCCTCCTCTTCTTTTCTTTTTTCCACTAAAAGACCAAGAGCTGACAACGCCAGCGCCATTTTCACCTTTTTATCAGACATTATTCTCCGTTAGTAGACGACCTATAATACGAGTGGTGACCGACAGCGGTGTGAAAACGGTCTTCTCGTATCAGAACAACAGACTACTGCCCCCTGCTGGCATGGAGAGTTATTTCTCTCTCACACATGTGCAGAGACTTTCAGATGTGCGCCTGCAGCTGTAATCCAGCACCTAATGTGTGTACATTTCATGGGGTTTATATTTACTTTCTTTCTAGAAAATCATACTACGACAACAGCAGAAGCCTTGTATTAAATAATCTTCCTCAATTTGTATTCTTTGGCTGCATCCACAAAGGCATGAACAGATTTAGGCAGAGGAAGACAACCTCGCTTGAGTTGTGTGAGATTGCTACATATTAAAATCATTGCTTTTAAAATATGTTGTGGGTTTGAGGTGTGTAGTTGGTTTTCACAGTCAGTGACGCATGAAGGTACTGAATCTCCGTCTTACCTTCAGAGCTGCAGGATCCCCGGGCGGCAGAGGAAAACAGTCGGAGAAGAAAAGAAGAAGAAGAGTGTTACAGAGAGACACGATTATGTCACTCACATTATAATGTTTGACTTGGCACACCTCAGACAACACAATAAATCCCTCTGACTCTGATCTCTTGTTTTAACATGAACACCGAGGCATTAAATTGACAGTTAGCTCTGCAGCGCTGGGCCAAAATCAAACCCCGTGTTCACACTACCGGTAAACCGTTGTAAATCAAGAGAGTAAGACATCACCTACAGAGCTTCAAGGCAATCCGGTTTTATCACATGATCTGCAAATTAAATGTAATAACTCTACATCATTCAACAAGCAGCAATTTGTCTTTACGACTTCCTTTGGCTTACTACCTCTGGATGTTCTCACCATCTCATTTGTTTCCTTGTTTTATTTATATTGAGGTTAAATAACTCTTCTAAGTATCGAATAAATCAGCTACCCAATCAGAAGGCTGAGAGCCTGACGCCAAGCTGGCTAAGTCAATACACTACGTTTAACAGCCGTGCAGTTACTCTCAGAGACCTTCAGGAGGCGCTGAATTAAATTCCTCCATAACGTCGCTTTAAATAGAATGACATGTACAACAAGGATGGACATATTCATATT